TGGATGAAAATTTACATGATGCTGATATGATGCATTCAGATGAAACAGCCGGTGAACCTGAGGGAGGTTCAGTTCTTGTCACATACATATCAGCAGCGCCTGTAGGCAAATCGGTTTTTCCTGATGGTGCGTCAGAAGTTGACACGGTGCCAACACCTGGAGGTCTATGTGCTTCAGATGCTGCCACGACGCCACCGAGGGCACCAGCTGTTGTCCCGCCACCACCCAGAGAAAAATGAACCTGCAGTTTCGTCACCATGCTCTGTTCGTGACCATATGCAGGCCTTGGAATTTGGAGCACCAATCACAGCCTGCACCGATTGCTGCTATATCTTCAGCAGATCAAGAGGCAGATGAATTTACTAAAATACTAGGATCCCCAATTGATCAGACTCATGAAAATTGATACATAAGCCGATGGTAGCAACGGTGCAGATGCTTTTCGGCTTTCCGCAAGCCGAATATGGTAGTCACTACTTGATGATGGTGCGATGAGACTAGCTCTTGTGGATACTGGTTAAAAATACTTGAGGTGTGGGCATCGGCTATGTTACTACTGGATATTTGCCAATACTAAGACAAAAAGGTTGATTGATGAAGATTGAAGTTTCGTGCAGCATGAGGATATTTCCAAATACATAGCCGATTGATCCGACCGTTTGACCTTGTTGCATAAACTGACTTGTGCTGCTAGTCCAATTATCAAATTTACTGCCGGCTGACTGATGTTGCTACGAGCATGGCTATTATACGAGAGGAATATAGTCATGCAAGCTGGTTGCCGGAGATGACTAACTGCCAAGCATGTGCATACACGGCCGGTTCAACATGGGCATACCAGGTTGCGGCCGATCAGTAATTGCACATGACGTCACGAGGATGCAGATGACATACGAATCATGCATGGGTGAGCTTTTGGTTTGCTTCTTTCTAAACACCTGCATGGACGTATGAGAACCAAGGGCAAGGCTTCTCTTGCTGAAGAAGCTGTAGGAACCAAGACGTTACAGAGGAAATAAATCAAGAAGATAATGATTTGTTATCCAGCGAAGGAGAAGATAGCCATGCCTCACAGAATATATGCAAGTATAATTTATACAGCTAAACATAACTTGCATATTGATTGGCCGTGCATGAGTAATCCTATGGAAGGTTATCGAAAAGCTGTGTTGTCATCAGAGATCGGCCAATTATTTTCCTGAAATTAGAACCGGCTGCATCAGCACCAAGCCAATGATAGAGCCCTTTATGTGATGCATGCAAGTCAGTTTTCCATACATGTACACAATGTACATGGGCACAAAAGGGATAAATAAGATCTTGGGAATGTGTGCCGTCATACCGTATCATTGGGAACACACATATCATAAAGCCGACGAAGTCCAGCTGATATATACATATTGGGAGGCATTCATCGGCTCAGAATGGAGGAACGTACATGCAGAGATGAGGTGAGGCTTGGAATAAGGTAATATTGCTGCCAGCGAATTCATTGGCTCCTTGGAAATAAAATTAGAAGAAAACCATCAGATCGAAATAGTTCGAAGCATGAAAATTCATACTCCGAACTAGGAGGGCCTGTGTTTACACCAAAATTTAGCAAGTTTACACCGGAAAGAAAGGAATTAGCTGATAACGTAAAAAAGAAGAAAATCTCCGATGATGACCGTGATTTGAAAGCCGATAGAATATATACAGTGGAATTGTTGATACTTGTCTGCAGCAAAAGAACATACAGCTGGCGTCACCTGTGCATATCGGAGTTCTGATATGCCTGTACTATCGTATCTGTTACATACATGTATACGTGACGCATTATTGAACAACCGGCAAGGCAAATAGGAAAGGATGAGGGCCCAAGTACTATACGAGCTATCAGAGGCAAGTAAATAAAGAAAAGAGTCACATACATGCATGTGGAGTTTGACGTGGATGCTAGCAAGATTAAAGCAAAGGAGATATACATGCACACATAACACCAGACTTGCATGTTCAGCTATCAAAAGTGCTCATGCACGTACGGCCAGTTAACATATTGGCCACATTTATTCCTATTTGCTCCAGTTGATATATAGATATAGGAAGCAAGAAGCGAATAGGAAGGAGAGAAAGTTCCGTTTCAATACTTGAGGAAGGAAATACTTTAATATTGTTTGGCCGGCTACACAAAGAAATTAAATATATCTTTGGATGGATACGTGATGACGTAAAGCTTCATACTAGGAAGATGGGGCCAGCATGTATAAACGCAGATGATTAGAATAATGAAAGGAAGTTGCCGCACCAGAAGGAGTCGAGGTTGATCACGTATTTGATTGATCTTTTTCACGGACGGATCGGAGAAAGCTTCATCAGCAAGGATTCGATTCTTCGTTAAGGAAATTAGAGTGTATGTATTTTAATATTTCCTTTTATTTAGATATTATTGTTAGGCAAGTTACATGTAAGCTTATCAGGGTCGTTAGTCTAGGATATAAATATGTACTTCTGGCTATTGTAATGAATATACACACATCAATCAAAATCAGTCTTTACTTTTTCGGCTTCACGCTAACTCTTAGGAGTAGAAGTAATGTAGATCTCGGCGAGTTCTTCAACAAGCAGGGCTGCATCGATCCGGTCGACCTCCGGCTTGTCTGTGAGTACCTTCACGACTTGTATCATACTTGTAAAGTTGCATCAGTCGATTGATCTTTTACGAGTATAATATAAGTTAGTTATCGATCTATATCATTATTTGTAAGGCTGTATCAGCTGATTGATCTCTTACGAATCATAATATAAATTAAAGTTATCGATCTTGTGTTAAATAACCCGTTGTTTAATACAATATTATCAGTTATTGAATTTGCTAAGATTAGTAAAATTTTCCTTACTGTTTTTAGCTGATTCACCAGTTATCGATCTTGTTATAATTAATGTTCCATTAATCATAACAAATCATCTGATTGAGATAGAGATAGATCGGCATTATATCATCATAATTGGTCGTCTTCTAGTCTGGTCACGCCTTGAATCTCATAATTGACGACTCAATTCCGCTACATCGGCTGTTTTATCTCAATTCCAATCAAGCATAGTATGCATCCAAAGATATATTTCAATCTTGGATAAACTCACCAGTTAATGAGATCTAATCTAATGACACTACCATAGCTGCATCGATCCGGTCGAACCTCACCGGTAAGACTTTGGATTAGAGATTATCGATTAGTAGTTTTGTTCATAATCGAGATGTGTACTCTATTTGTTTGCTATACATGCATCGCCTATTTTAGCCGATTCGACTGTGCTTTCACACATATAGCATGTTTTTCATAAACCTATCAATATACAGATGGTTTTATAGATTCTTTGACTTTAGTTTGTTATTATTATCATAGCTATATCAATCCGGTCGAATCTCATTGTTGATGATAACAAATTAGATTAAGAGTGTTTGTAGATTCATTCGTACTAGACAGTCGATTTGTTCGTATGTTATAATCTTTTTTCTATTTGAATCGGCTATTTTAGCCGATAGATTATGCTTCCATGCTAGATCTATAAATATCGGTTACGAAAGGCTTTTACAATTGTACTTGTTTTGGTTGATTAGCCTTTATTAAATCATCAAGATCTATGAATATCGGTCATTATCCTCATGGCATCATCATTCAACAATGGCCGATTGCTTCTATTTCAATATATTTTTATCCATGGACATGCTGGATATCGACTCTTTAGTCGATAGCCCCATTGAATCGGCTATTTGGCCACATATTGAAACTGTCTGGTGCAACACCGACATGTTCCACCTTAAACTACTGATTATTCTCTCATTGTCAATTGCAGGGTCAAATTGACTGGCACGCCTTTGGTCCCGAAACCAACCGTTCTTGTATTGAAACTAAGTAGATCTTTGGGTTCACTCTATCAAGATCACCCGGCTTGCTGTGTGTTGATCACATCGCTATATTTTTGTGTTGACAGAAATAGACAGATTATTGTACAAGCTATCTGGGTGTCAACCCTGTCTGTGGTTTGTACATGCCCTAATACCCCCTCCATCCCAAGAACTTGATGTTTTAGAAGTTTTAGGATACAATGCTCCACAGAAATTACCCATACACCCTTATTTATTGAAGGTAAATCATGCTAATTAAGGAATAAACTCCTCATTAAAAGGAATGCATTGAGGCTGTAGACCGCAATCTTAACCTAATTTATTGTTCAAAGAGCTAAAACATCAAGCATTTTATGACATTTTTTAATTCCTAGAGCATCAAGTTTTATGGGATTCGGTGAGTAGGCTCGACCCTTCTTGACGTGGGCCCTATTGGTCCATGCTCGGCTGACGGCCATATGCAGAACCAAGCCGATAGCCTCAGTATTTGGTTACCCTAAAGGTCACGAGAATCACAATTTTTGGAATTTGCCATCTGTTTTACAATTTTTCATTAAGAAAATTGTCCATGATCTGCGTCGCCCCATCGTCAACAAACTTCATTTGTTTCTTCACTTTCAGCGAAAATTCCCTTACGCGCACGCGAAAACGTAAGATTTTGAAAGTAGCAGATTGCACATTTGGACTTGTGCTACCCTAACTGTCCATGTGGTCGGAATGTTACATTCCATCTTTCCAAATAAATAATCAGAAACTGAAGCATCTGGACGACTGGGCCACAACAAATCATGAACAGATTTGGAAAGCAATAAACAATCTTAATCAGGAATATCTTTACTCTAATATGGAAGAATGGCAATCGTTAATTGCCCATTATCGGAGTCATTACTTCCTTTTTTGGTAAAGCAAAGATCAGAGATACTCTGCTATACTCCTACCTTGTTGTATATGGAGAGGAGTAAAGAAAAATTCATGGCAAGATGCAATCCAAGGATCATCAGGCTATATAGGTTACCAATTGAACGGTCCCGAGCCAATCCATGTATATATTTCAACTGCACAAAACACATTGCGACATTGTGTGATTGGAGATCATAACCAAAAGACAAATATCATGGCTTCCACAAGCGCCACGCTCATCGTCCTCTTCGTGGCCGTCGTCTGCGGCGGCTCCGGCGCCGTCGGGGCGGCGAACTCGGCGCTGGACCAAGTCTGCGAGTTCGTGGGTGCTTCCTACGTCACGCCGGAGCTCTGCGCCTCCGCGCTCTGCTACGACCCGGCGTTGCCGTGCCGCGACGCGCGCGACTACGCGGCGGTGGCGTCGCTCGCTGCTAGGCTCCTGGCGCGCAACGCCACCGCGACCAGGGACAGCGTGGCCGTCGCCGCGAGGTCGGCCAACGCCACCGCGGGCCTCAAGTCGTGCCTGCAGCTGTACGACGGCCTCGTGCCAGCGCTGGAGTGGGCGGTGGGGTCCGTGGCCGCGGGGCGGGCGTACGGCGCCGCGCAGGAGCTGATGCAGGCGACGCAGTTCGCGCAACGGGCGTGCGCTGGCATGGTCGGGGCGGAGATGCCCAGGGAGAACGGCGGCTTCGCCACGATGGCCACCGTCGCGCACGCCGTCCTCTCCACCCCCGTTCCAAAGACCGACTGAGTTGCTAGGTTTTTTTTTTGTTTACAAAGGATAACTTGGTGAAGAAGGGTGAAGGAGACACTAAACAGTAAACACAATTTTTGTGGTTTAGAGGAAACAATTTAGAGTATCTTTTTTTATTGTCAGGTTGCAAGGTGTACGTGGAATTCGTTGTTCATCGCCTTTAATTTTCAAACACCAAAAGATATAGTATGTAGTCCAGTTGTTTGGATCTTGGCTACGGAGTTTTTCTCCGAGGATCAGGAACCAAGTAATAGTAGGTGCAGCACCGATGTACTAGCTTGTGTAGAAATGATATTGTGTTTAACAGAATAACAACTAATTTCTTCCTACAGGTAACTTTCAGGGTACTAGATTAGGTATTAGACTCTCTCCGGCACCTAAACCAAAAATGAGTAGCAAGAGGTCTAAAATCTGCTTCCAACAGAGTACCTATACGTGAGACCTATTTTATGTTGTCTGAGAGACAGAACTCAAATATGAGCATCCTCTCTCCTGTAAACCCATTTGCAGAAATGATTATCTTTTGGGTCCTGTTGTTGGAAAAGATGCCCAGCGCTACCCAAAGGACGAATGTGTTTTATATTTTGGGTGTTGTTGTTGGAGATAGCCTTAGTAACTCTTATCTAGAGAGAGTGCGAAAATGAAGTAAGGAAGTCATGGTGATGGAACTCTTTCGAAAAGATTGGACGGAGACATCGGGCTTGCTAACGCCTGGATGTTCGGACAGATAGGCGTCCGAACGCCAGCTGCTGCCGTTTCGTGTGCCCATGCGGGGCCCGTGCTGTCCCGAACCTCACTAGCATCGAGAAGAGGGGGAGGGGACAGCGGATGCCTAGCCGGTGCCAGGAGGCGGAGACATCGAGGCGAGGCAACAAAAAGCGAGGAGTGAGATGCAACACCTGATCTACTTTTGAAACATCTAGATGCAACACTTGCAACATACATCTTAAGGCAGATGAAACATTTGAAACATGTTTCTGAAACACTTGCTAAAACACTTGAAACCCATTGTAAAACATACGCAACATCCAAATAAAACATTTTACAACATATGTGTGAAACATATGCAACATCCAAATAACACATTTGCAACATGAGTCTTGAAAAAACATATGAAACATTAGGAACAAAAGTCTTGTAACATATGTGTACAACCATTGCAACATCCCGATCTATTTTTAAAACATCCACATAAAATACTTGCACCATACCTCTGAAACACTTGAAACATATGCTTGCAACATGCGTTTTCCGCCCTTCTTCAGTACGACGCAGCGCAGGACGGGGGATGGGCAGGCGGAGGGTAGAGCCGTTGCACCCCCTTCTGGTGGCGAGCGGAAGGGGCGGCGGGGACAGGCTGCTGGCGAGCTTTTGTCGCGCTGCGGATTGCCGTCGTCGTAGGCAGGCGGAGAGGGAGGCAGGGACAGGCCAGCAATGGGCACAGGCCGCCGCCGGGCTCTGGCCGGGCTAGGGCCAAGAGGAAGGGCCGGCTGTAGGCACAGGCGGCTACCGCCGAGCTCTGGTCGGGCGGGGGCGGGAAGAAAGGGCCCGAATATTTTTTATTTTGCTTAACTAAAAAAGCTAGGCCAGCCAGGCCGGTGGAGCAGCAGTACCTAGCTCGATCAAATTCTCGTGGAGATCTTAGGATGTCATGCGTGTCGATAGATTAATGGCTACACACACCTTGAATTATATATACACACCTTTATTTGAAAAGCTTCAAACTGAGAGTATAAAACGAGATTACAGTCTAAAAATTCTAAAAACTCATAAGAATAAGAATGAATTATAGGCACTCCTTAAGGCTTATCTCTGCATAGATGAAGAATTCCCTTTCAATATTTTGCTTCAAAGCATTTGAGATATGACTATAGGTGCAGTCTATAAGCATTCATGAGATTACAGTCTACCACAAAGTTTGGAATGCTGTGAATTTGATTGAAGCCGGCCCCACAAGTCCAAGCAACAAAACAGACTCGCCATCTGACAGCTCACGCTACTTAAAAAAAATGATTCTTAGCAATGCCTCATTTTTCAGGGGCGGCTCAATCTAAAAGCGTCCAGACAAATGGTTCCTAAACGACTCGCCCCTACAAATCCATTTGTAGAGGCTGCTGGTGTTATCAACGACTCGTACAAATAGACGCCGAATAGTAAAAATTAAGTATTAAAATTCAAAATTTTCAAACGGCATCGGATGGAGAAATGACCAAAATAAAAGTTATAGATCTCAAAAAGTTATAGAACTTTGTAGTTGATAACTTTTTCATTTGTAATCATTTTGTCAAGGAAAACTATATTTGAATTTCACAATTTTGAATTTTGAATTTTTCAAACGACCTCGGATGGAGAAATAACCAAAACAAAAGTTGTAAATCCTAAACATTTATACAACTTTGTGGTTGACAACTTTTTCATTTAAAATCATCTTGTCAAAGAAAACTACATTTGAATTTCTTACATTTGAAATTTGAATTTTTGAAATGACCTCAAATGGAGAAACAACAAAAACGAAAGTTGTAGATCTCGAAAAGTTATACCCCTTTGTAGTTGACAACTTTTTTATTCGAAATCATCTAGTTGAGGATAATCAAGTCTAAATTTCCAACATTTGAAATCAAAATTTTCAAATGGCCTCGGATGGAGATACAACAAAAATGAAAGTTGTAGATCTCAAAAAATTATGTAACTTTGTAGTTGACAACTTTTTCATTTGAATTCGTTTAGAGTCTCAAACACTCATTTTAAGTTCGGTTCAGCATAAAATGAGTAGAAAGAATATCTAAGAGAGATACAAATGAGTGTTGGGTGGTTAGAGGATAGAATGCGCGAATCAGAGGTTATGGGTTTGAACCCCGGTGGCCATAAAGCGTGCGGTTTTCATGCGATAAAATGCACTACTTGTGATTTTTGGAATTTTTTTGTGATTTGCGGCGGGGCCTCCTGGGATTAAGAAAAATTCCTTTTTTTATTTAGATCTGTGATTTTTGGAACAGCCGTCTACCGAACCGTCCCTATAAATCGGCGATCTGTATGGACGGGGCCGTAGGAGCGGCTGGCCAAACCGCTCTTAGAAATAGTTTGGAGCCACCCCTACAAATCGCCTTTGGAGCAGTGTCATGAGCAATTTAATTTGATGGTGAGAGCATTGAGCAACCAGCGGTGCACATAAAAGCGTCAGGAGTCGTCTTTCCTCCTGATGCCAGCAAATGTGGGGAAGAAAAATTAGATGTGTTAATACTCGACTGGATGAGTACGGCTTTGTTGTTTCTCAATCTTGTCGAACCGCCAATGGCACTCTGTGCTGGAAAGTGAAACAAATGGATGACGACACTGCAATAGGAGTATGCCATGAGGCCATGACCACGAAGAGCAACTGTGACGAGAGAGGACGCCACATCTTGTTGCTACGACGCAGCAACTTTTGCAACAAAAAAAACGACTATAGCACCTCTCAATCAACCAAAGCAACTGTTACCAAAGACGACGCCACCTTATCTTTTTGCTATGATGCGGTAACTTTTGCACCAGAAAAACAACACTATCTTTGACTATAGCACCTCTATGTCAACCAAAGCAACTGTGACAAATGAGGACGCCATCTCATCTTTTTGCTATGACGCAGTAACTTTTGCAACAAAAAAACAACACTATCTTTGACTATAGCACCTCTCTGTCAACCAAAGCAACTGTGACAAGAGGATGCCACCTCATCTTTTTGCTACGACACAGCAACTTTTGCAACAAAAACAACACTATCTTCGACTATAGCATCTCTTTGTCAACCAAAGCAACTGTGACAAAAGAGGACGCCACCTCATCATGTTGCTATGACGCAACAACTTTTGCACCAAAAACAGCACTATCTTCGACTATAGCACCTCTCAGCCAACCAAAGCAACTATGATGAAGGAGGACGCCACCTCATCTTTTTTGCTACGACGCAGCAACTTTTGTAACCAAAACAATAGTATCTTCGACTATAGCACCTCTGTCAACCAAGTGCATGAAGTAAAACGCATCAAACCATTTTGGTTGACAGTTTCCAATTCAATGGGAAACTCCGGGCGAGAACGTAACCTTGCTATATAGAGCATATATGATGCTATGTCAAGTAAACTTCGCGTTCACCACTGCAGACGCCCTCTTTGCCGAGTGCTGGGGCACTCGGCAAAGCCAGCCAAGCACTCGGCAAAGGCTTTGCCGAGTGCCGCACTCGGCAAAGATCTCTCGGCAAAGATTTTATCGGCAAAAATTTCTTTGCCGAGTGTCAAAAATCGACACTCGGCAAAGACTTTGCCGAGTGCCAAGCCCGCACTCGGCAAAAAAATAACTGCCGTCAACATTTGACGCCGGCTTTGCCGAGTGCCTAGGGACTGGCACTCGGCAAAATTTGAATTTTTGCCGAGAGCCAGGGCTCAGCACTCGGCAAAGAAACCATTTTTTTAAAAAAATCTTTTTAAAAATAGTCTTTGCCGAGTGGTACCACCTGGCACTCGGCAAAATTGACCTCTTTGCCGAGTGCCAGGCTGTGGCACTCGGCAAAACTGGGGAAGTGACTGTTTTTGCAGCATTTTTTTCCAGCTTTGCCGAGTGCCAGGTGGCTGTTTGGGTCAAAGTTGTAATCCTCACCATTTGGGACAGGCACTTTGCCATGCGGTGATACCAACTGCGCAAGGTACCAACCCTCAAGACTGGGATCTTTTTGGCACGCCCATGGAAGGTAATAAACTTGCGTGGCCTGTTGAGCCACAATATAGACATCGTCTCCTTGATAGAGGGAATCTTGTCGAATTTCAACTTGTCCAATCTCAGGGGCTCTTTTCGTGACATTGGGATCGAACCAATGGCATTTGAATACGACTGGCTTATGACCTCCGCGAAGCTCAAAGTTGAGCTCGTATATTTCTTTGACTATGCCGTAGTAGTCGCGGTCATCGGTGCCGGGCGTACGAACTCCAGTATTCGTGGTTTTTCGATTGGGCCGACTGAGCTCG